TTTTTTTTTCGAAGTAATTTCCATCGGCGCATTTTCGTGCGTGTTTTATTGTAAAAATTGGCAAAGAAGGTTTTTAGACGTATTTTGTTGTCAAAATGATGTGATAAAAAAATAATCAGTAGGGAAAATTGAAGTCCTATTGTTCGAGCTTCAATTACCATAAACTTGCATCCTCGATAAATTTATACAATAATGATATGAAGCATTGAATATCCTTGGAAAAAATGGTCCTTTATTGAAGTCCATGTTTTTAATAAATTTCCATGGAGAATATTGTAACGAAAGAGAAAAGTTGATAATTAAAAAAATCCGTTTCTTAACTTTTAAAGTAGAAATTTCAATAGATATCGAATCTGTTAGAATTCGATTATACCCGTGCATTACATCGATGCGCTTCGATATTACGAGGCATAAAAAGCAATTAATTGACCGTTGTGGCTGATGATACGAAATAAAATTAAAATAAAAGGCTGAAGTATCGTTTCCATCGCTATCTTGACGCGTAGCCGACGTAACGTCAGTTAGGATAAAGAATCTCTTTGAATACGTTCCCCATTGGATTTAAGATCTTTATGGATCTTTTCATCCTTTGACGCGATATAGGTACGCGAGGAACGAAGTCTTTTGAAAGATTCAATTGCTGTTATAGATTTTTCGGCGAATTGTATAGAAAGAAAAAGATATAGGAGGCATGAGTTATGATTTTAATATTTTTTCGTATCAGTTGAAAATGGCTAGGATAAAAAATATTTGTAATGTAGTAAATTTTCAAAACATTGTCTTAATAATAATAATAATAATAATTCTCAGCAAGTAAAATTTCTTCCTAATGCCACAAAAATGACAAATTTTCTACTTTTCTTTAACAACTGAATTTCCTTCGAGGATAATTGATAACAAATTTAGTAATATCTAATTTATTTAATAAAAGTCCTTACATCAAAATTGGCATTGGAACTATTAGATTTCATCAGAGACGTTAAAGTAAAGTTGTCGAAAAATTTGGTAATACAATGGAATTCAGAAGCTTTTATAAAAGATCATTTAAATCTCCAAAAGTACGCTGTTTTACATCTGTAAAGTATCTAACAAAAATTATGAACTAGTCATTTTTACCACTTTGGTAGTTTCACTGTCAGGTACGCAACAATCTACGGTATTAAACGAAACTAATAAAAAATGGCACTAAACTAAAACGTGGCACTCATAGATTATGACCAACGCACATGTGCGTACATCTACAGTGCTCAAAGGATCGAATTAAATCGTAATCCAGGCAAAATTTTCAAAAATTCTAAATTTCACCATACAAATAATTTTACTTACCACGCAATCGTGCACTATATATTCAAATGATTTGATCCAGGGCTTCAACTTAACTCCTTTGAAATCAAAAAGGTTCCT